CTTACTCCTTGGACGGAAAGTTATGAGCAACCTAGATAGCAAGGAAAGTTATGACCAACCTAGACAGCATATTAAAAAGTAGAAACATTACTTTGCCAGCAAAGGTCTGTCTAGTCAAAGCTATGGTTTTTCTAGTAGTCATGTATGGATGTGAGAGTTGGTCTATAATGAAAGCTGAATGCCAAAGAATTGATGCTTTTGAACTGTGGTGTTGGAAAAGACTCTTGAGAGTCTCTTGGACTGCAAGGAGATCCAATAAGTCCATCCTAAAGGAAATCAGTCCTGAATATTCATTGGAAGGACTGATGCTGAAGTTGGAACTCCAATACTTTGGCCACCTGATACAAAGAACTGACTCATTGGAAAAGACCCTGTTACTGGGAAAGATTGAAGGCGGGAGGAGAAGGGGATGACGGAGGATGAGGTGGTTGGATAGTATCAACCGACTCAACAGACATGAGTTTAAGTAAACTCCGGGAGTTGCTGATGGACAGGGAAGCCTGGCGTGCTGCAGTCCATGGGGTTGCAAAGAGTCAGATACAACTGAGCAACTGAACTGAACTGATTGTACCACAATTAAAAACTTTAAATTAAAGAAATCAACATATGGAAAGTCAGGCAGAAGAAAAGAAATTAGTAAAGGCTGGAGTGGTCAGAGAAGGGGTTGTGGAGAAGGTGTGTCTTGAGTTGGGACATAGAAGATGCATTACTTGACTGGGTGAGGATGAGGAGGGGGAGGCGATCAGAAGAGAGACCTTCAGTGGTGCAGGATGACTGCAGCATCCCAGGGTGGGTCTCATCCAGCAGGTGGTTTCATTAGAGCTGGAAGCTGGTAAACCAGAGTCTGGTAAGGGCTGGTGAAGGTACTTGGGAGGGGTGCTTCTGGGACTCCTAATTTGGCCCCTCAGGCTGGGTTAGCATAATGAGATACCTGTTCCCTCTCTGTCCCTAGGAAAGAACGCCAACTAGATAGTTCAACCCTGGTAGCGGGAAGATCCAGGATTGCCCCGAGCCCAGTCCTGCTCTTTTCTTGCAGCTGCGACCAGTCAGATTCTGTGTACATGGCTGCCAGATGGCCTTGGAGGGCTGCTCTCCCAGATACGGTGACTGGAGCAGCAGGGAGCAAAGGTGGAAGGGAGAGTGGGAAAGGACAGGGCCAAATGGGGGCTTCCCTGGAGATCCGGTGGTTAAGATGTCACCTCCCAATGCAGGGGGTGCAGGTTCAACCCCTGGTCAGGGAACTGAGACCTCACATACATCATGGCTAAAGAATCAAAACATAAAACAGAAGCAATATTGTAACAATTTCAATAAAGACTTCTGAAAAAATGACCCACATCAGAAAAAAACAAACAAAAAAAACCTTAAAAAAGAATAGGACCAAACGGTGTGATGTGCTTGAGCTCAGCAGTGGAAGGAAAATAGGGCTGTGTGAATGTCAAGTCTGCTTCATGTAATTACACCCAACCCTGGACACACAGACAGTCCACCACCCCACCCCAGAGAAGCAGCCCCCTGCCATCCCACAGACCTGAGGCTTAATAGTAGGGACACTGCCCATCTTTACCCAAGAAGACGTGACTTTCCACACTTGAATGAGCAAAACCTGGGCCTTTCAGCCTGGCTTCCTGCCACAGGATCTCAAATGGCAGCTGAGCACAGTCACATTGGATCGAAATAAATATGTGGAACCATGAGAGGAGCATTAAAGTGGGAATTCTAGTGGCTGAGCTGAGACCAACTTGTTACGTTACCCGAGGCAAGTCGTGCAACTTCTTGGAGCCTCAGTGTCCACAACCAAAAGAATGAAAATGAAACTGCTGCCCTGCAGGCCCCTCAGGTGTGCTGCAAGTATGAGGTGAGGTTATTTATGGAGAGGCTCTTAAACGGGGTAGAGTCTGTCAGCCGGTTTAGTAAATGCCCAAGCTCCTGTGAGCCTGGAAGGCGAACCTGCCAGTGTGTAATTGCAGCTCCTCTGAGCTCTAGCATTCCTCTTAGAGGCGTTTCTTAGATGTGTTTTACACTCCAGGGGTTTTGCTTTTTTCCTCTTTTTTTTTCTAAATTTTTATTATGTAAAATTTCAAAGATGTGAAAATGTGGAGAGAATAGGATAATAAGCCCCTTGGACCCAGAACCAGCTTCAGCAATTACCAGCTCACGGCCAACCTCATTTCATCTGCACTCCCTCATCCCTCCCCTCCTCCTAATCCCACACTGGGTTTTTTCAAGCAAAATTATCTGACATCATATCATTTAATTGATAACTATTTTAATACACCTTTCTGAAATATTAGGATACTCTGAAAAATGTAACCACAATATGTAAGATTTATATATTGTAATTAGTTGAAACATCTTGCCTCCCTTTAAAGTTTTTAAAAAATATTTATTTATTTTTTGGTCTTAGTCGCAGCACCTGGGACCTTCGAGTTTCCTTGCAGCATGTAGGATATTTAGTTGTGGCATGTGAACTCTTGGGCGTCCCTGGTGGCTCAGTGGTAAAGAATCCACCTGCCAATACAGTAGACATGGATTCCATCCCTGGGTCAGGAAGATCCCCTGGAGGAGGAACTGGCAATGTACTCCAGTATTCTTGCCTGGAAAACTCCATGGACAGAGGAGCCTGGTGGGTTACAGTGCATGGGGTTGTAAAGAGTCAGACATGACTGCACACACGCATGCATGCAAACACACTGTTGGCCGCATCATGTGAAGTCTAGTTCCCTGATCAGGATTGAACCTGGGCCTCCTGCAATTGGGAACACAGAGTGTCCCACTTGGCCAACAGGGAAGTCCTGCATTGCTTTAATTTATTCCTTCAGTTTAACCTTCCATCTTTCTTTCTGTCTCTCCCTCCCTCCCTACCCCCTCCCAATTTCTTTGATAAAGAAACTGCTGGTCTGTCCTACCGTGTTGTTCAAATCCTACAATCAAGGATTTGCTGAGGTGTCGCCTCCCCATGGTATTGTTGAGCCTGCCTTTCTGTGACCCCTGTGTCTCCTATTCTGCTATTCCATCAGAAGACCTGATCCAACAGCCTGCCCCTGCATGCCTCTGGATGCGTCCAGGTATGTCAGATTTGTAGAGTTCAGTCTTCCTCAAATAGAAACTTCTCCTCCACTTCTTCCTCATGAAACATAAATAGTCGGCTCACTTCCTATGTGCCAGGCACTTGCTAAGCTCTTACATCACTGTTTTTCACAGCAATATTATGAAACAGCATAGTTCAACTTGACGGTTCACTCTAGCTCCCCAGCATCTAGATCCTTTCCTGTATTAGGGGAATGGTTCACCTCTTTACGTGTGATACCTCGTTTCCAGCCGCCTATGCAGTTAAGGAAAGGAAAAGCAAGTGACCAGGGCTGCACAAACAGAATTCCCGTCCTTGCAAAGACACGTGGGGTCAGAGGCATGGTGATTGCAACGTGGGTCCTAGCAGGGGGCAGCATCGAGGGCGGGGCCAGGCCAGGGCTCCTCCTTCCTCTGGGTCACTCCTGGGCTTGCAGGGTCCACCTTCCCGTGAGATCTGCCATCAATACCCTGAGCTCAGGAAGAAGCTGCGTTGCAGACGCCGCAGCAGAGAAACAAGGAACCCATTTCTTGTAATATGCATGTGATTCACCCTCACCCAGAGCCCACCCTGCCCGAGGGCATGTTTCAAGTGTGCATTCCAGATTGGGGAAATCACCAAAGGCTGGGTTCAGGACTCACTGAGCCCATTGTGAAATGGATTTCTGTCAAGAGGCACTCACCTGCCCTACATAAGCCCCCATTCTGACTAGGAAGTGGAGCACAGTGGTGTTTTGGCTCCATAAATCCCTTTCAGTGTAGAGCCAGTGTTCTGTAATCCTGGAAACGTCTGATTATTTACCTTTCCTCAATACACAGTCACTCTGGTAAATGACCACAGGGCCTTTTGGAGGAAGATTTACAGTCTAAACATTTGCTGTGTAGCACCATCCTTCCTCTGGGGGACTTGGCCTCCCTTCCAGGCAAGGGCCTCTGTTGTCTGGGGCCAGGGTGAAGCAAGATGGGGACTCCTGCATAGAATTAAAGGAAGGGGTTGCTCTTAAGGTCCTATGGGGGTGATTCTGCACTTGCATAACCCAGGAGGGAGTGCCTCCTCCGACTCTGCACCCTGGGGGTCTTTCTTGCCTCCCGAGAGACCTAGCCTAGAGCTGAGCTTCAAAGACTCAAGTCTGGGAGCTGGTTGAAAGGCTGTTAACAGCCTATTGCGGTGACTCAGCTCAGACTTCTGTTCAACAGATGTTGAGCTTTTCCACTTACACAAAGTAAGACTTTAGGAAGTTCCCAACTCTTTTACTTCTAGGGGCACCGTAACCATCACCAAAGACACTGCAGGTCAGACTATTCTGATTACTTAATGCTCTGTGTTAAAACAAAAACTACAGGCCTAAAATAGAGCCACTTATGCCAGCCACACCTCCAAACCGGGCTCTAATACAGAACCTAAGTGAAACTTCAACCTCCCCCAGACACTTAGTCTTAGCCAGTGAGGCAGGAATTTTCTGGTCAGCACCAATGAGGTCATCTGTCCTGTGGGTCCTTTCAATCCCCCAAGGGAAGATGAGGTAAACCCCCTGATAAGACCCTTTTGTCCCCAAAGGAAAATGACTTAATCTGAAATGATCCTTTTTTCTGGTTTTGACTTTTTCCTCCTGCCTTTAAAAACCCTTCCCTTCTGTGGCCCCTGGAGCTCCTCTCTGCTTCCTAAATACTATGCTGCCTAGTTTATGAATCATTTAATAAAGCCAATTAGATCTTCAAAATTTACTTGGCTGAATTATGCTGTCTCACATCTGATGACTGTATAGCTTTGACTCTGCTGTTCATTACCACATGTCCTCATCTGTGATGCTTCTGCCTAACCCTGACATCTCAGGGCCCCAAAATCCCCAGTGAATGAAGGGAATCCAATTCAATGACAACATTTCCCACTGTCATTTCTGGCCTAAAGATAATTACACCACTATAGTCTCTCTAACAATCAAGCATCAGGAAATAGTGACTTAGTAAGCTTACTATAAGAAAAGTCCAAAATGCTATAGGTGTCTGGTCTACAAACCATTGCATTTTGTGTAAGTGGAAAGATGAGTCTTTGCCTTGTTGCACACACAACATATTAAGTCTGCAGCTCAGTGGTACTGGCATGTTGACCCTTTACATGAATAGCACTGTCTCTGCCTACAAATATTACCCTGATTTGCAAGAACTCATCCTTTCAGAGCAGGCCAGGCCTGTGTAATATAGAAGTGTGTGTTAGTCACTCAATCGTGTCCCACTCTTTGCGACCCCGTGGACTGTAGCCCACCAGGCGCCTCTGTCCATGGGATTCTCCAGGCAAGAATACTGGAGTGGGTTGCCGTTCCCTTCTCCAGGAGATCTTCCCCACCAAGGGATCGAACCCTGGTCTCCAGCATTGCACGCAGATTCTTTACCCTCTGAGCCATCGGGGAAGCATGTAATATAGAAACTTTCATTAAATAGAGTTGGGAGACCAGGAGGGGGCGCTCGCATGCCTTATGCTGATAGCAGAGACCAACAGGAAGGAGAAAGACCCCCTTCTTTCACGGCAAGGACTCAGCTGATGAGAGCCTATCTCTTAGCCAATGATAAGCTGGGGACTCTTTACTCCACTTCCACCTGAACTTCCTTTTCTCCTCTATAAAAGAGTTCTCCCCTCCATTTTTGTGGGGGATTTGCTTGTGGCTCACCATGACTGCTTCCCAGGTGGCAATCATAAAGAACCTGCCTGCCAATGAGGAAACATATGAGATGGGTCAGGAAGATCCCCTGGAGGAGGGCTTAACAACCCACTCCAATATTTTCGCCTGGAGAATCCCATGGACAGAGGAGCCTGGTGGGCTAGAGTCCAGAGGGTTGCAAAGTCGGACATGACTGAAGCGACTTAGCACACACATGTTTGCACCATGATTGCAGACTCCCAATTGCAACTCTTTGCAAATCTCCAAATAAACCTATTTTTGCTAGAGAAATAATGGGCAGTCTATTTGCTTTAGCTCAACTCCTGGCTGGTTTAGGGGATACCAAGTGCCCATGATGGCACCCAGGGGTCATCCCAGCACACTTTGTCCCAGAACTAGTTGACAAGACAATATAACAATGCTTGGTTGGCTCACCAATGGGTGGGGGGGCCCATTCTTATAAACCCAGCTACAAAAGTTAGAGGAAATGAAAAGCATAGGAAGGAACACATGCTGACATTGTACAGGTTTCAGAAATTAATAACTCTGAGTTTATTTCAAAAAACTTTTCAGAACCCTTTTTATACCTGGGAATATGGCAGAAATCTGCACTTTTGCCCTAACTTTCTGAATTCTTTTTAGATGAAATAACCACTGTCAAATTCACCTTTCCACTTGATGAAGGCTCACTTAGTTCTCTGTACCATGTTTGATTTGTTCCAATGGTCTGGATTTAAGAGTATTGAAGCATCTATGCAAGTTTATATGGAAATAAATTACTTTTAAGCTACTTGTGAACTTTAAGCCTGGAGTTCTTTTTAGAAAACTGAAGGACTTTGCTAAACTACCTCATGGTCTCCTATTGTAATTTAAACAAACAAACAAGCTTTTAATTAATGCTTCTCTTGCTTTATTGAAAACATGTTTTGTTAAATTGCAAACTTGGAATGTGCACATTTTGCATGTCTAACTAGGTCTTACAAATAAGTGGTAGTTTAATTTTACAAACAAAGACACTATTATAAGTTGGAAAGAAAATTAATCTTTCTTTTCTTATCTCTTTAAGAGAAGCTATTTTCCTTCTTCTTTTCCTTGATTCATTTCGCTTGAAGTTCTTACACTTGTTTTCATAATGTCCCAAGTCTTTGGGATTTGGGGAGAAGTTTTAAATTGATAGATAACTTTTACAACACATGTTTTTCTCTAGTTCCTTATCGTTTCCAGTTTAAAACCAGAAATTTCTGATACATTAATATTTCAGAAATTAGACCAAGTATGCATTGGGCTCTATGCTTAATGTTCTATAGGCATCTCATTTAATCCACACAACCACACTACTGAGATGGACACTTTTAAAATAAAGGACATACACATTTCCATCTGTCTTGCTGAATTGTTGTTGTTTATTTGTTAAATTGTGTCTGACTCTTTTGTGACCTCATGTACTATATAGCACACCAGGCTCCTCTGTCCTTCACCATCTCTGGGAGTTTGCCCAAACTCAAGTCCGATAAGTTGGTGATGCTCTCTAACCATCTCATCCTCTGCTGCCCTCTTCTCCTTTTTGCCTTCAGTCTTTCCCAGAATCAGAGTCTGTTCCACAAGTCGCCTCTTTGAATCAGATGGCCAAAGTACTGGAGCTTCAGCTTTAGCATCAGTCCTTCCAATGAATATTCAGGGTTGATTTCCTTTAGGATGGACTGGTTTGAGCTCCTTGTACTCCAAGGGGTTTTCAAGAGTCTTCTCCAGTGCCACAATTTGAAAGCATCACTTCTGCATCAATTCTTCCAAATCTCCAGGAGATCTTCCTGACCCAGGGATTTAACCCACGTCTCCTGCACTGGCAGGCAGACTCTTTACTACTGAGCCACCAGGGAAGCCCCATCTTGATGAATGCATGAGAGCATTTTCATCATCTGAGAAAGTTCTCTTGTACCCCATTCCAGACAAGCCCACAGCCATCCACACACCATACACATACTGATCCTCTTAGAGTTCTTCTGCTCACTGAAAAATTGAATTGATTTTTTTTTTTTGCTTGAATGTTATCACTGTGAACTATTTTATATATATTTTCTTACCTTAAATAATGGTGGTCCTGAAACCTGAGTTTTGATTAGATGCTTAATGTGCTAAAATATGTGATACTCCTACGTGCTTCTACAAAGAAGGAAACGTTTAGAGAAGGGAGACAAGCATTAGGCTATTTTCTCCTAAAGCCTTCAAAGTGCTTCACTATTCTTTTCATGTAATCTAATTCTTTTCAGATATAAAAGGGTTACATAGTATAAAGAATTTCATCATCCCTAATTTCTTCAGATAGCAATAGCAGTACCCCCTAG